AGTGCTGGTCAGTGGGAGTAGAATAGGAGTAAGATGTACCGGAAACGAAAGAAGAAGATAAGATTAAGAAGATAGGAGACAAGCAAAATGGCTCACATTGCCAATTAATTAGTTATTAAAAAAGCTGGAGTATTTTTCTAAAGTTATCCATCCGAAAGCTAGATACGAAAGTTTGAATTTTGGAAATAACTTAAAGGTTAAAATCATCCGTACTACTAACTATAGTCCTTTGTTTTCCAACAAGTGGTTTCCAGCCTAAATTCAATATTCTTACGATCGATTAAACATATAATCTATAATCAATGATCAAGGGGAGTAAGCTGGTCTAGTGGTAGAGTTCGGGCACGGCCGCCTTCGGAGCCAGCGGTTTTGGGTTAAAACCCGACCAATTAGGCGATTACCAATGGATTTTATCCATGTTATAATGCCAAGACACTCTAGGAATAGTGGAGTAATGTGTAAAACAGTTCTGGGATAGAACCATAGATTAACCAAAACAAATAGAATCCTTATACTATTGTCAAATTTGAAGCTAATTTATTTATTTATTCCAACGGGAAACCCATCACATTGATGCATTACAAAAAAAAAACAAAAAAATAATGAAGGCAAGATGTGTAACTACAAATATTCATCAACAAACAGCAACAACGTAATTGTTTATGATTAGATCGTATTATTTGGTTAAACGAGGTTTTAAATGGCTGTAATAACGGGAAACAAATTCTAAACAAAACACGACCTCTACATAAACCGTACATGAACTAACAATAAAATTGTCTTCAGCTGTTCCATAAGGATGAGAAATCTTATGTATGTGGATGTATACATAACCATGTAACAAACAACTAACAACAAATAAATATTTTCAGATTGACAACGAAAATAAATAATGGATTTGATGGATGAGAGAGAATACAGATGAAAAGAAACTAGCAAATAGTTCACACATCCGCTCAGGCTGAGTTGACGACAGATCGTGTGTCAGTTTACTTGGGACGATCTCTTGACGTTTTAGGTTGTGGACAAATCTCCAAAAACTTTGGGGTTGTTGGGAAGACACTTTTGAACATATACAATGTATATATATATCTGGAGCAATGCCTTGACTGCCGACGACATTCTTCTCTTAATCTCGAAAACTCCAAGTAGGACAATCTATCAAGGGTGTTCTTGTAAATCCGGTGAAGTCGTTTTTTCTCAATGATGGTTGATTTGATCAGTAGAGTACCAGCAAGCAGGGATGCTGTTGCTACCAATTTTCTTGAGTGGTGTATGTTGAAGAATAATATTCTTCAAGGTACCGGTATCACAAAATAACTGAAACGAGGTATTTAGGTCAGAATAGTCATCATCAGGAGTAAGATTCGCCTAATGGAGACTGTGAAAGATATCAGCGTGACGACACCCCATAAGGTCTGGAATGAAAGTAAATTTAGGTTTAGACAGGAATAACTTTGGTTGAAGAACTATGTCAAGTGCTGGATGCTGAGCATCAATGGGTAACAGGGGTGCTACCTCTTCACGAACACACAGATCACCTGATGAAAGAACCAAGTCCAGGAGCACACCTCTTTCAGATTGAGGATGCATGACAGCTCATTAACAGCTCTAGATGAAGCAGTAGGGCATAATGGATCAGGCATGGACCAGTCGACATATGGAATATTAAAGTCCCCCGCAATCATAATCTCAGTTAAGTGAGTAGACATAGTGGGTATCACATCCTCAACTGACTGACAGTAGCTAGATAGAATAGACGTCACTGGAGTTGCCTTGTGGGATGTATACACAATTTAACAATAAATGATTGTTATGTGACAGCTGAACATTTACAAAAATTAACTCAAATGGTCCCAATTCAGAAGTTTCGATGATATGACTTAAAAAATGTTTCGTTTCTAGTTCATGTTGGTAATAAATAAATACAATTACCTTAAGCTGATACATAAAGAATAAGGATGACAGATCTATTAATAGGTACCTAGTATGTTTTATCTATGCTAGGGTGTGAAGGTGGGAGACAAAATACCCCCGTCGCAGCAAACCTGCATACTAAGCGAATTTCCATTTACCCGGCTTGATTTCTACTAAAATATTCCCTATAAATTTTCAGATTTATTTCCTATTTAAATAACATTAATTTTAGTGAGTAGTTAGGTTTGCTGCTACGGGGAAGATGTTGAGGTGTGTTTTTTTGAATTGAAATATTGATAGCTTAGTATGAAATAAGCCAAATTGCCAAATTTGATTAAAATATATCCATAAACAAGCAAACTAGAACAGTTTATTTATTCTCCATAAGAATAACATGGGAATTTTAAATTTACAATTTTTTTAATTTTCTCCGTAGTCAATGAACATTCAAAAAAACTTCAATATACTAAATTATTTGTTTTTTTAAGCTCTTCAAAATGGTCTAGAGAGAAATTTAGAAATTTAAAGTTTGTAGGGTCAAAAATGAGAAAAACCCATTTTTACCCCATAAAACCCCCCATAAACCCCTGATCCCATGGTCCGATTATGCTGGTTCGCGAACTCGTTCGAATAAATGTAGGTTTACACGTTTGTACCAAATTTCATCAAAATCGGATCAATTTTGCTCGAGTTATCGCGCTAACGGACACATATATAAATATATATATATAAATATATATATATATAAATATATATATATATATGAATTTGAACGGATGGTGTTTTTGGCCTCTGGGGACCTCAAAACGAAAAAGTAAATCGGTCCCGGGTCTAGGTCTTACCATGAGACCTACGGTAATAGCTTATTCCCTATATGGGAAATTCGCTAAAATGATAATCAATGGTGTTCCTAGGTTTTTTTTTGTCCTAAGACGCTAGGCACGAGCCCGGGTTTATTTTTCACATTACTTATGGCTAGGTTTAAGGGGTTACGGAACTATCACTAGTATCTAATAGTTAATGATAAAACCATAGAAAAAACATACTATGTTTGATGTTTTATCTATGATGAAACAAACTCTCCTAGTAGATTTTTCTCATCCTTATGGAACAGCTGAAGCCAATTTTATTGTTAGTTCTGTTTGGTGCACTGTAGAGGACAGAGGTCGGTTTGACTCTTTGGCTAGTAACAACACATGACGGTTATACACCACGAACCAACGCGAACCGTACTCAACGACTGACGGTTCGCTTGGTTTCCCACGGTGGGAAAACTATTTCTGATAATTAATTAGCTATGTTGGATAGCGGTGGTTTGACTATGTCTGATTAATATGTTTTACGCATAATTTTATCGTTAAAATTGCAATGAAAAGGGATTTATCAGTAAAATATCTTTGTAATAATACTACTTTGTTACGTGCATAATTTATTTGTCGTTTCAAGTTGTTTGATTGCCCTTTTTCCAGTTTTATGAGCCTTTTTACGATTTTTAGAAATTTTTAAAATATGGCGTTGTTTTTTAAATGAAATATTTTGTAATTTAATGAGGAACCATGTTTAAACATTCGTTTTGAAAAAAAATAATAAAAATAAAGGAGCTAGTTAGATAAAACCAGCATGATGTCACCTTGAGCCTGCCTCCTACCTGGTCTTAGTTGGAGACAAAACACCATTGTTCTTTTGGGCTCGGACCATCTCATGCTCATCCTTTGAGCTCCACCGGGATTAATGATTGAAAGCCGGGAATATGTGTAATTGGGATTCGTGAACCCAACTTTTAAAACCAGGTTTTATTTATGCCCTAATTGTGTGGAGCATATCAGTTTGGTCCATGGCTTATTCATTAAGTCTGGAGCTCGTGAACATGATTTTTTTAAGTCGCATCACAAATACCGGTTATTTCCAGATTTTGGCCTTGGAATAAGATAAAGCCGAGCTCGTGAACCACCTATGGTTAGCAGAGATTTTGAGTTCAACCTGTATAGCTGTGACATGAATTTAAAATTCGTGGCTACATGACAATATTTCCATTGTAGTAGTTGCTGCGTATGCTTAAAAAAATAAAGCAGACTGTACTAGAATCTAGCTAGACTTACTATACTACAGTAGCAAAAGAAGCTATTAGTGATGGTGATGTTGTAGACATACACACTCCCTTCTCAGACTACAAGAAATTCAGAAAGAAAGTCCATAGAGAATACTACAATAATGTAATTTTACAATCCACTAAAGGGCTATGGCATAAAAATGTACAGGGAAGATTACCTACAAAACCATGGTTCACACAATCAAAACTCAACAGAATGGAAATAACTAATATATGCAAACTTAGATTTGGCCATGCTAGAGTGAATAAATATCTCCATTCTAAGAACATGTGCTTTACTCCACTTTGCTTGAAATGCACTCAAGGAGAAGATGAATCATTAAAGCATCTATTCTGGGACTGCCCAAATTATAATTATTTCAGAGATAAACATCTTAAAGAAACATATAGAAAGTATAGAAACAACCTACAAGAAGCCCTGAAATCTGTAAATGATCATATTTACAAGGAAATGAACAATTATTTGAAGGAAATAGGAAAAGCAATCTTAAATAACAAAGAAACACAAACACTATTAAAATCACATTTATGTTGTCCAGTCTTGGGTTTCTTAATCCGTGGCCCTCCTCCCCTCTTCTGGGTAGTTAGGTATGCCTGATGGGCCCCTGGCAAAGAAGATCACCTATCTCTACCATCCTAAAGAATCCCTTGAACCTTTAGATAATCCTATCTTTAATACATAATTAGGTACAAAAGCAAAACTAGAACAAATCTACATATAATATTGATTGTGCACATTTATGTTCAATAACAAATGTTTGTAAACTAACAAATAACCTTAATTGCAGGATGAATTTGGAAGCAACCACAACTCAGTGTACATCGAGGCTGCGTCTATTAAACCGAAGCCTGCTAAGCAAACTAGAGGGGGAAAAAAATACTACAGTAGTAGAAATTTCTCTCACTCCCACTACTCCCAGCTGTCCTGTCGACTGTTACTGTTGTCGTTGTCAGTCAGTGAGTCGGTCTCGGTCCTTACTTTTATACCAAAATAAAAATACAGTTGATCAAAATCCAAACAAACGATAAGTTCTTTCATTTTGTATTGTTTATTTGAAATATTTAAATCGTGTTCAATGTGTTTGTGTTAACCTGATAATAAACTAAACTAAGTTGTCCAAATGAGTAAAGAAGATAAACACGACGAACTTTTTTTGAATGTTTTAAAAGAAGAAGGACAGATTTTACCATTTTTAAATTCCGTGTTTGGCTTTTTATACAGGAGGTAAGAATTTATATTAAAATAGCTTTTAGGATCATGATCATAATAATTTTAGTTTTTACCACTGTTCAGTTTGCAACTTAGTGAAAGACTGAGAAAGTAAAGAAAAATACAAGTAAGTTTAGGCCTAGCCAAGGATTACCAAAACCTTGGGGTCTCTTGTTGTTTGTTTTGTGTAGGCTTCTGGTAATCTTATGGATACTTTTATTGCGATACTGCTGGTATTGTATCGGTATCGGTTGTTCTCATATTTACTTGGTAGCCTATCGATACCAAGAGGACAGTATCGTATCGGAAAGAAATATCTGAGTCAAATGGTCACGCTCATGAGCTTCTGAGCTGATGTTTTCTGAGGCTGGAGCATCAGTGACCCAAAAAAGAAACAGAATTTCACACAAATTATTTAGTTTTTTTGTCTTGCTTGTCTGATGATATGTGGTTCGAGTAAATTATGATTCACTATTCATTCAAGAACTTAACATATTGAACCAAATATTGTAAAGACAGTGTCATCATAACATCCATATTTCAAGTTAGTATTGTGACTCCAGCCCTAAGGCCTTGGTCTTTCAGCCTAAACCCACATTGCTATAACATCTCTAGCTGACAAATACATTGCTTAACAGCGTTGAGGGGAGTTCAGTATTGAATGTTGAACCATCTTTATAGAACCCTCATAACCAGCTACCACACGCCCAAGCCTCTGGCCGTTTATTCAAACGGCTTCATCATCATTTGTCATTTGCCTATTGGGTCTGATCAATAGGGGAATGACAAATGATTCATTTGCGAATGACAAATAAGGCGAATGTCATTTTTTGCCTATTGGGTCTGATGATGATTGGAGTGTCCAATCGAAATCGATCACCACTTACCAACTTTTTTGTATATTAACCGTCTTGTGAGTAACACTATAAGCGTAATTATATGTTTTGAGTGTTATAAGACGTATCTTTTATTTACTTTCCGTACGGTCAAATGTAAACGAACAGATACATTGTGATAACGTTCATGTCATGAAGACTAACTTAAGTTAGTCTTGCTTGTAACTACACGTCTGTAAGCCGTGAGTAACAAATTTTGATATTGACTTCCTGGAAGGGGCCAGATAAACCAGGGACCGGTTAAACCAAGACCGGAAAACAGGGATTCTAAGTTAAGTTAATTGTATTGAACAGGAGGAAAAAATTATTTTTGTGAATAAAAATAAACAAATAGGCTACTGGATCTATCAAAATGTGAAGAAGGGGTTGAAACAGTTTAAATTTTAAAATACTTCCAAGGACAATTTGATAGACTAAAGGTTTTTTTTATGGTGTAGGCCTATAATTGTCATTTGAAGGAATTGGTTTGAACAAGAATTCATGTAGACTAGACCTGTATAGCCCAAGTTAAACTTACTCCGCTTAAAAACCTAGGTCTTGCACAAATAGGTATAGTTACAAAGTCTCTCAAAAACAATATATTTATTAGATATTGTTTTTTGTTCATTGTTTTTTTTATTATTGTACTTTACTTAGATAAGAACTAAGTTACATTATAAAACATCTTATGTAAACATAACCCGAAGAAAACAGTATTCTATTGAGTAATCCAGGCTATTCACGCTAACTTAAATAGCAGGCTAGTTTTACGACTCAAGCCATCTCACAACAGCCCCTTCAGCCATGCTGCACCAGTTCCCAGCATATCAATAAATCATCAAATTTGTCAATAGTAAGGTTGGGTATAAATTGGTGGCTTCAACGGTAGGCCTAACATGTAGACCTACCATATTAAAAATTCTACTGTTTCAGGCTAGAAGTGATTCAACATCTAAACAAAACTATTCATCTCCACACAAACATATAATGAGTAGGGCCTATGATTGATCATGGTTCAATAAAGAAATTTAAATAAACTTTTCAAGTTGGCCTTTTTTTTTTAATAGAGGGCCAGGCTTACAAGTTACCATGGGATTGCATCGCAGCTAGAACAGCTTATTGTGCACCCTCGTTCACAGATCCTCATTCTCCGTCAAATCCCAGGTCTTTGGTGAACCGTGAGAGCCTTTTGACTATGCTGACCTGTTTTTCCCTTTTATCTCCCATCAATAGGCCAAGGGATCTCATATGCAGACCTTGTAGGGCTGGACACATCACTATACCTTCACAGCTTTCACAAGGTCTCTGGCTGGGGCAAGCCGTAGCGAGATTTCCCCGAAAGGACTCAGCTCCTGAACTTGCTTGACCAGCCAATCCTTTGTGGCTGCGTCATCACAACCTCCACCTTTCTTCCTGGAGGCTTCATTAGAGTCAGCTTTGGGGGTACCACCCTTGCCCTGCTTTTTCCCAGCATCCTAGTTCCCGGAGGAACTGGCTTTGCAGGCAGCAGAGTTAGGGTGCTTGGCAGCCCACACCAGCCTCCTCTCACTTCTGGATAGCACCTTTTCACCTTTGGCTAAAGCATCCGCTATCCTCTGTCTTTGCAACTCACCCCTGGAAAGTCGTTTTTCGTACGAGGGATCTCATACGCAGACCTTGAAGGGTTGGGTACATAAATATACCTTCACAGCTTTCACAAGGTCTCTGGCTGGGGCAAGCCGTAGCGAGATTTTCCTGAAAGGACTCAGCTCCTGAACTTGCTTGACCAGCCAATCCTTTGTGGCTGCGTTAGCACAGCCTCCACCTTTCTTCCTGGAGGCTTCATTAGAGTCAGCTTTGGGGGTACCACCCTTGCTCTGCTTTTTCCCAGCATCCTAGCTCCCGGAGGAACTGGCTTTGCAGGCAGCAGAGTTAGGGTGCTTGGCAGCCCACACCAGCCTCCTCTCACTTCTAGATAGCACCTTTTCGCCTTTGGCTTAAGCATGCGCTATCCTCCATCTTTGCAACTCGCCCCTGGAAAGTCGTTTTTCGTTCCTTTCCGGTTTCTGCGAGCTTGTCGTCATCGTCAGATTTCAGTAGACCTTCCTCCTCCATTTGGGTCAGATTGTCTACATTGTTCTCACGAATACCGGGTATTTAAGTCCACCTCCCCAGTGACCCAATTAGAGAGGTAAGGGGTGCGTACGACTGGGTTACCCCTGGTTCCCAGAGGGCTCCGTTAAGACACTGAATATTAGGCCCCCAGTGCCACAAGACTCTTGGCACGGATCGCATTACACCTTAGTCTAGGGCCCCCCTCACTTGGTTCTGTAGGTGGACCAACACCCAGTGGCAGAAGGTAGCTCTCCGCAGCTAACAAGTGAGAGTTGGGGTTTAGGTTGTGGCCAATCTGCCGAACCAACCCCGCATGCGAGGTTTGGCCGGAACGGCGCGAAATTTTCTCCCACTCACTAAACCCCCATACCTTCCCAAGTTGGCCTTAGTGCCTTACTCCTTCAAATAACTTAAGTATTGTGTTTTCATTACAATATTTCACCTAGACTATACTATTTTTTTATTTTAGGTTAATGTAATAGTGCAACAGTTTGTATTACTGTTCAAATTACGACAAATAACTTATCTGTTGATAAATACCTACTCTTCACTGTTATTTACAGTTTTTTTGTTACATTAAACCTACAAATGAGTTTTGGGTCTTGATTGTATCAGACAAGATAGGCTAAACAAAACTCATCTTACCATACTTTTTACACAGTTGTGTTTGGTGATTCCAGAACTGACTTTTATCTTGTCAAAGACAACCAAGATGGCAAGATTGGATTCCTCCCGGGAGTCGCAGAATTGGCTGTCAGAGACACATTCAGGAAGTGGCAGAAAATAGCAGCAGCTACTAACGGAAATGTGTAAGAATTATATTATCAATCATCAAGAACAATATTTAACAAATTTTTGTAATTTTACTATAAAGATTCTCTTTAATCAGTAGGGGTGCGTGATGCAGCATTTTCTTTTTGATTCGATGCATCGATGCGATTCAAAGAATTTCTTTTTTCATATTGTAAAATCTCTTGAGGATTGTGAATAGTGTTTCAATATCAATAACCATAGAGGCCTAAACTAAAACAATATTCCTACCTACCTAGGTTTAAAAGTTTCTACTTCAGTCAGGGTACACAACTTTTTACGTAAGGTTTTCGTGAGTTAGTTTGGATGGCATTTAAAATATTTTTGTCATGGTTAAAACCTTTGGCAACATAATTTAAACATAATTATTTTAACATAATTTTAATTATGATTAGAGAAATGTTTTGAATTCATCTCCAAATGTCATGTGAGTACCTAATAAATAATTTCAGATCATGTATGGAAAACAGTTTAGCCAACGTAGTGATCCATGAGGAAGAAGTAGTTACCACCGACTATGAGACCGAGCCAATTGAGGCAGTGCAGCCAACCGAACAGGAAATATCAAGAAACCTGCAAGTTTGGTACGTCACACAACACATAACTTTTTTATGAGACTAAAAGAATTGTTGGGTGTTATGGATTCTATTTGTGTAGATTTTGTATCTGACATTTGAATTGGAAATATTTTTGGGACACATCTTCATAAAAAAATAGTACTAGTAGAACTTAAGGAGATGGCAACACGATAGTTGATAAGTCGAGTTCTTCTTGATCATAAAAAACGTTGCAATACCGGTAGCTCAATTTTTTGCCAACATTTAATATAAATTTTCAACACTTGGACTTGGACTTACTCCATCCTAGTATTAGGATTCTACTATACCCGAACCATAATACCTGCAGCACAATTTAACTTATTTCTAAGCTTATGTAATACAAAATTTTAAAAGGCTCTGTTAGTTTGGCATTTTATTGGAAACAACTACGGTAATTTTTCATACCTTGCTTTTATGTTTAGCTAGAATAACAGTTATCTTAACCTTTTGCGCTCGGTTGGTTACTTCTGCTGGCCGTCATTGAAATAAATAGCACAGAATTTTTTCAACATCAGCTATCTCTGCAGATTGACTTGACATTAACATTGGCGATCTTACTCTCGTAATCAGTTCGGCAGCTTCTTCCTACGAGTTCCGAATAATTTTACTTTCAAAGCTGCCTAGTAGTTATCACCACTCAGCAATAATTTTGTATAAAAAAGGGGGTTTACCCAGTGCTGCATGTTGAGTGCTAACCATCCGAGCAGCAAACGCAAAAGATGTGAAATTCATCCAAGCTGCTGGAAAAGACTGCTGTCAGATGGCCGATTAATGTAACCTAAAAATAGTCTAAAAGAGTGTAAGGGTTACAGTTTAACTTTTGGAAATTTAACTTAATTGATAACTTCATGCTATTTAAAGTGTCTGCCATGTGTTGTAGTGATGATGACATCAGCAGTGACACATACAATGGTGCAGACCGTGGGAGCTACAGATGGTCTCAGACTCTTACAGAAGTAGATATAAAAGTGTGTACAGTTATTATTTTTTTGCATTTAAAAATTAATTTTTTTTCCTGGACTTAAAATAAACGTGTACAGTAGAACACCAACTGTCCAAACTCAAAATATCCGATTGGCTAACAGAAAGAATTTTTACTGCAGTAAGAATAGTTATTAATTAAATGAGACAGTTTTTTATTCTATTTACAATAAAACTTGATAGAATTGCTTATTGAAACAATCCTAGGGGTTGTTGTTCTGTTTTTAATGCAGATATGTTATTTAATGTTGAAAAAACAAATTTTATTAAATTTTCTACTAGATACAAAAACATGGAAAACTGTTCTTTTAATTTAGTTGAAGCTCATAGGGGTTTATGTAGATGACACACGTAATGGGATTCACATTTGAATTATTTACATACCGGTACCAAAATTAGGTTGATGTCATCTTTATTCATACATTTAAGGGTCTGTGTTTCTTTTATTAATACTTAAAGTCGTTTATCATGCTTATGTGGAGTCTGTATTAAGATATGGCATAATTTTATGGGGTCAAGCTACTGGTATTAAAATTATATTCAGGATACAAAAACGTATTATTCACATTATTACCAACTCTCATCCTTGCAGTTCTTGTAAAGAGACATTTTCAAAATTTCAAAATTTAGACATTAACGGGGTTGTATTTTCTAGAATTATTAAATTACATACATTCAGTTAAAAATTAGTTACCAGAAACAATACATTTTAACCACAGGTATGAAACCCGAAATAAAAAATATATTTAGACTCCCCAGACACCGTTTGACCCTATATGAAAAATCTCCATTGTATGCTGGCCGATGGGCTAAGATTGTACAATGTGCTTCCGCCATGCTATAAGTCATAAAAAAAAACAAATTTAAAGAGACAATAGATAATTTACTTATTGACAAGGTTTTTTACTTAATTGAAGATTTTTACAAAACTTCAATTTAGAACATTTTTCCATTTTTTTTTTTTAATTTTAAGTGTTTAATTTTAAGTTAAGTTTAAATGTTAAATATTTTATGTATGGATTTAATTTTGATAATGCACCTATTATAAATGTTATGACATGTATGGAATGTTTTGTGCAAATAAAGTATGTCTATGTCTATGTCTAGGTGCCTGTCCCAAATTGGCTAACCAGCAGTAAAGGTGTCACGGTGGAAGTGGGTTCTACACGGGTGACTGTATCTTGTAGGGACCACGAAGGACGTATGAACACTCTGGTGGAGGGGGAGCTCAACTACAAACACCTACGTGAGGAGTCCATCTGGACACTGACCCCGGGGAAACATGTTACCGTAAGTCAACATCCGTCTTATAATGTTAAGGGTTCAGATTTCCATCAATTCTTAAAAGGGTATGAATAATTATAGGCAAAACCTTTGAGGATATATACCAACTTTTTTGTGGAAGCACTCACAATAGATCGGATGTTTACTTTAGTCCAAAGTCAATAGCACCGTTTTAAGTGTGAATATAAAAGATCATAGTAACATTTACAGATTATTTGTGATTCTTACCCAGGGGCAAGTTGGCTATATGTATGTAGGTATTGTTTAATGAAAACAGCAGCAACAACAAAACTTTGATAAAATAGAATACCGTTACTCTAAAACGCAACTGTTCACAGATTCATCTTGAAAAGGCGAATGAGCAATGGTGGGACAGTATTTTTAAAACTGAAGATAAATTGGACACAACTAAATTTGATACAACCAGACATATTAATGAGCTACGAGAGGATGATAAAATGCAGGTAAATTTTAATTACACCAAACATAAGAAGTACTTGACAAATATATTGATGGGGAAAAAACTTTATGTTGAAACTGTTGTGATTAGAGTATTATTATTCATTATAATATATTATACTTGCTATTTCACTTTCACACCTATTAAATTTGTTATTATCGGGATTTGAAAAAGGTGTGTATTTGACAACAAGTAAGGTTCATTGAACTAAGTGCTCAATGATTTGAATTTTACGTCTACTGATGGATAAATTTCGGTTTTGCGCAGGTTTGGGTGGAGTACTGTTATATATACTTCTAACCAAGATCAAAACTAACTTAACAATTTTAAAATTTATTGTACTAATTTTCGAGAAATTTTAAGACTAAAATAAATAACAATCTTTGTAATCCGCCATTTACTCAATAGAAGATTATACGTCAAGAACATGGACTCCACTGGATTTGAATTAATGTTATGAATAATTTGGCGTTCCAATGTATTTGTATGAAATATTAACTGGCAAATAAAATCTCATTCTCACAAATCTAAGTCCTAAAAAATGCTGAATATAGGAGGCCCAAGTACTTTATTCATAGCTCATATAAATATGGTGGCAAAAATAAGCAGTTGTAATACAGAGTGAGGAAGTGAAACGGCATGATTTTGAAAAATAACAAATAATTCATTTAAAAAAAAGGTTAGTTGTTTTGACATAAATCCTAAGTGCATGAGTGGAAATTAATGTTTCACCTTAAAAAATTAATATATTTTTTAATACAGTGTCAGTAAAATAGCGCAGTTGGTTTTACACACATTGTTGAACTATGAATTGAAATCAGCCCATGACGCTTTTTAGCGTTTGCGTTGGCATAACGTCTGCAATCGTTTTAAAGCGCTTTGTCGTGCTAGCAGTGGCTTCAAAGTTATTTTATCCAAAGAAGCGTAGCTTTATTTGATGGCACGGAAGCCCGTGGCGATAGACTGAACTCACAACGGAAAGTGCACTGAGCCAGGGGTGCCCACAGGGGGGTTTGATGTCGCAAAATGCGACATCAGAAACTTATTTGGGGGGGGATTTTATGATTTTGGGGGGGATTCAAGCCAGTGGTTGGTTAAAAGCACATAAAAGATTAATCAGATAATTTTTACGACCTTCTTAATTTATTACTGGGGTAATTATGCAATCAAAATCCCGTTTGACATTTTATCTTGATTAATAAATTATTTTATAATTGCTATAAAATATATAGATACTTTTATGTGGATTTCCAATTTCTGACTCATATCATGTTTGACAGTGAGAACAACTCCATGCCAATTGCTGTCAAAGGATTATGGTTGGCTTATTAAATTGTATCTGCAATTTGAGTTTGTTTTTACCTTTCATTATTAACTCATTCTCAAATAGTCTCATTGCCTTGATGGTTTTTTAGGTTTGTTTATTATAATATATTCTTGATTCATAAAAAAACCAGTATTATGATAATGATAATCATTTTGCTATTTTTACAACATGAACAACAACATGAAAGCTTGTGATAATATTTTGGCTCGGGCCCAAATAATTATGCCTGGGTCATTTATTCATTGGAAGAAATTGACATACAGTACTGTGACAATTTAATAAAGGTTTTTGATAGGCTATGTGTTTACGTTAACTTCAAGAACTGAAACACATGATTCTGGATTGATTAAATTGTATTTGTTAATTGTTATTGTCTTTTCTTGAATCTAGAAAGAGCTTCAAACAAATTTTACTAGTCTTGATTTGAACGGATTTAGTAGTGTGGCGTAAACTATCGTACGTCACTCGTCCAAAATGTGTTGGCCGGAGTCGTATAAAAAAACCACTACTCGACTTCGTCTCGCACGGGATTCAGGACTAGTAACGTAATATACTATTTTACCACACTATGATGTTTTTAACTGTTTTACATATAGGTACATTAATTGGTGGCTGAAAGTTACGTTTTGCAGGCCATGCCAGTTGTTATCGTCATTCGGGGATCGAGCAGGTTTTTAAATCCCTAGGGCCTCAAAATTAGCTGCCCGCTTTTTATACACAATCAGTATCCATAGCATTGCAATAGAGTCGTTTATTGTCACCGCTGCCTAGCAACTATTAATTATTATTTTTGCTGATTCCTCAAATTATTTATCCACATGACCTTAAAGTTGTAGTTGTGTTGACTATATCAGTGTGCAGTGCATTATCATTGAGGTGAATTAGTGGTAATAAGGTATAGTGTGGGGTGAATAATAGCGTTCGTACCACGGACTGAAATGGTTTTGCAGTTCGTCCTCGACGAAATATACTAGTAAGTTTAGACCTAGTAATTTTTTTGAGACTGAATATTTTACACTTATTTAAAAAGGACCAAACTCAGAAGTGGATTAAAGGGCAATTTAGAAAATATCTCAAACTTTTTGACATAACTTCAAATACTTTCTCCCCTACAATTTAATATGGTAAAAGAATTGTTTATGTAAAAACCCTGATCCCAAAAAAGTGGTTTTCGAAGTGATGTGTGTGTCTGTCTGTATGTGTGTATGTATGGTACAGAGCTACAGACCACGCCTGTGGTCCGAGTCTGATTTTGTTGAAATTTGGTATTTTAGGTACCAATCCATGGTCTCTCCAGATGTTATTTTTTCATTTTGGATTTTAATAGTGATATTCCATAAAACCCTATAAAATAATGGATGAATAAAATTTTCTCAGAATTGGCCCAAACGATTTTGATTAAAAATTAACGTGTTATACTCTTTGACTATGTCAAAAATTTTATAAACCCTCTATGCCGTAAAAATTATGGTTCAAAAGTAATTGCAACTTTTGTGATTTTCCTTTTAAAAACCTATTAACTCATGGAAAATGGGATTAAAAAAACTACATGGCCAATTTTGATTCAAATTGTGTGCATAATTCAACTCATTTAAATTAAAACTAAACTAACAAATAGTTTGCTACTGGAGTTTTAAAGGAAAATTGTCCATTTAAATTGGGTTAAAAGTTTGATTCAAACGCTTAAATTCCCATAAATTTAAAGAAGTGTCGGGGGCACCCCTTCCCTCCCCGCATTATAAACATAACTATGGGTTAGCCCCCAGACCTTCCGGCACGGGTTAACCAACGAATTTGGGGGGGATTCTGCGACGTGAGCTTTGGGGGGGATGGGCACCCCTGCAGAGAGCACAAACCTTAATATCCACGTTTTTTGTAATATGCCTTTACAGCAAACGTGTGTTGTGCACTCGTCCAACGATACATTGCTACTTAAATTTCCACTTGTCTAGACACCTATGGCCATTTCCACCGAACTGTAATAGCCCTCAATTCCTTATCAGCTGGTTTTGGAATCGTGCCGTTTTACTACCTCACCCTGTACTAAAGGGTGTTTTTCTTATTTATTTTATGTCCCACCTTCACATCCTAGGACGCTATCGGAATTGTTTTACACATTACTTCAGGCTAGTCCTAGAGGGTTGCGGCATTATCACATATAGTTGGGAAGATTTAAACCCGGGACCTCAGGCAATGAAGCTTCACGCTCTACCACTAGACGAGCTCCCTTAAAGGGACATCATGTTAGGCTGACATGTTTGAACAGAACTCAAGCATTCATAAGCATTGTCAAAAAACTCCTAGTTCAGGTTTAATCCACAGCATAACCTTGTTGATGGTTTAAAGAGCACAAACATTTACTTGACATAAGGATCAAGTTTGCTCCTGCTGGTTTAATAGGCCTGTCATATCAAAAGTATTTATTTTAAATTGTGTATATTTATTTTACCCTATTGTAAAGCTCTATATGTATTTACAGGTTGAGAAGATTTTAGTTAGAGAGGAAAACAAACGCCTTGGCATTTTACCCCCAGAACACCAGGTAAACATAGGGACAGTATCCAGATAATTAGTTAGGGCTTTAAAATATTTGATCACTATAAAATCAGACAAATAACATTCATTGAAAAAAGTATATGCAGTAGAGTCCCGCAAACTCGGCATAATGTGGACTGGAAGGGTGCTGAGTTTGTGAAATGCCGGGTTATAGGGAACTAGGTTTAAAAATAAGAACACTACAATTTCTAAGCTTTTTAACCGTCTTTAATATTTATATTACAAGTCAGTACGATAAATCCTTGGTAGGTACAAGTTGCAAATGATTTTACTTGAGCTGTCTTGAGTCCATGTTTAACTCAGACTCAAAAATAACTAATTTTCTGAGCCAGGTGATGGCCAAGCTATCCAGACTACCGGGGTTATCGAGTGACGAGTTTGCGGGACTCTACTGTATATGATACATTATTCTTGTCATTAAGATCTTCCCCTCACAGCAACCAATGACCATTGAGTTTGATCAATTTAAGTTAGGAAAATACAATCTTGTAATTCTGGTTTAGTATTTATTAGTCCCTTATCAAAGTCGGTTAACTTTGTATTGCAATAATTTATGAAAGGGAGTCTTCCTGTGTCTAATGTTTTGAGCATTTGATTCCTCATTTATTTGTGAAATCTATTTCTGTACCGAGTAATCATGTAACACGATAATTTCCGCATAATTCCCGATAATTCGCAGGCACATCCAAGATAATTTCCTATGATCACGGCAACATTTGTGATGATTCCTTACCATGGCAGCAACACTTAAAATCGTCTGCCGTGGTCGTAGAAACAACTTTGTTAATTGTATCTGACTGCAGCAATATTCGTCATCTCTCACGTTGAGCAAACAGTTGTAATGATTTATTCAAGGGCGGTCCTAGACATAAATTTGGGGGGGCCTGGGGAGACGTAGGAATTGGCTAACTCAGGAACTCGCTAACTCGGTCGTGTGTCGGAACTGGCTAACTCTGGAACTGGCTAACCTTCTCAGTCAGGAATTGGCTAACTCCGGAACCCGCAAACTCGATTTTGTCTCGCGGCGGAATTCGCTAACTCTGGAAGTCGCTAACCCGGCCGCGCCCACTGCACGGAGCGTTGCCAACCTTGTACGACAAAATAATCGTACACTGCCGTATTTTAAAATGTCAATGTCAATGAAGATACAGTAAATGTAAATGTTATTGTTTTTTGTAATCAATTCCACTTTTAACAGATAACTAGCCCAAAGTAATTCAAAGACAATTGAAAAATCATGAAAAAGTGTTTTAACTGTACAATGGCCAGTTAAATGTTTATGATTTCGATCTTAAAAATAAATGCCATCAGTACAAAAGAAAATAATAGAAAATGAAAAATATTGAAAATTCTGTTTAATTGGTACTAAATAATTAGACTCCTACGAAATTAAGCTAAAATACACGCAAGTTCTCAAACACGGAAAACAGATTTAATCGTAATGTCGTAATAAACCAAAACCATTAATTAATACAGTCATCAACTATCGTAACTTTCATAACTAATTCATAGATTTAAAATCAAATGTTCGTCGTTGAACCGTCCAACTTACGTGTACAAATATGATGACATAGACTAAGTTTTTATCTAGGACTAACAGTTTGAACCAAAGCATTGTAGGCCTACTAGTAAATAGTTGCCTAATTATTCTAAAATGTGTTGAAGTTTTTAGCAATAATTTTACATGTTTTCAAACCGTTTCTAGATTGTACACCTAAGCACCACTAGTAAAAAATAGGAGATGATATAATATTCATATAATAAAACGTGACAGGGTTATTTTAATTCACGATTCTTAATAAACGAATTGACTGATTTTCCTGATTTAGTGTTGGGTTTCCTTTATATTGCTTTCACAAACTATATAAACGATACCAAGCCATTGCTCGGTTCACCGTTCACCGGTACTGAGCTACACAATAGACAATAGCTTTGTTTTTGGATAAGATCAAGTAATTTTAACTATGGCCACCATTCATAAGAATTGTAACAAACAAGAACGCCTGGGTCCATTTAGAACCAGCCTAGAGAGAAACCCTAGACTTTTAAAAAATAGGCCTACTGAAAGACGTAAAATTAATATTAATTCAACAAAATTAAGAGGATGACCCGGGTTCTACACGATAATAGCCTATGATAAAAGAAATTTGCAAGTTGTATTTATGCATTGACTAATTTTTAATGCAATCCATGAATACATTTTAAGTCTACCACTTTATAATGTATTGATAAATATTTATTTAAATTCAATAGCTCTATTTAAAAATACATTTTCACTACAATGTAATTCTGTAATGACGTTTAACGTGTAAATTTTATTATGATTTATGATTCAAGGTTACAAGCCCAGTATTTAAAATGTGAATTCAATAATTTTATTTGCAGAAGTTCACAAAATGGTATTTATTCGAATAAAAGAAACAAATGGCGGACTACGAAAATAGATATTTCATAACATGTAATAGATCCAAATTAAATGTGCATTTTTATCTTTTTGCATACCAAAAAGCTACTATTTAAGTAAGAAACCCACATATAACACATACTCCCTTTTTTGAGTACACTAGCAGAGTACCCGTCCTTCGTACGGGGTTGGCATATAAGTGTAAAATGTTTATTGCAGTCATACTCAAGCTTTGTGTTTGCAATGGGGGACGACACAGTTTGATAAAATTTGGTTCTTGAAGTTTACGGTATGCTATAGTATAACACATTTACCATAGCCATAATGCTCTACTACTGCACCTAAACAATAGAAAACAAATTATCAAACCTTTGCACAACATCACAAATGATTCATTAAATGGTCATATAGGCCTAAAAATAACTGTAAACAATCCTACTTTGATAGTTCTCATTGGGTATCACAGCTTTTGTTGCTGCTTAGTTCAGTTAGCTATTGTCATAAATTCAAACAAAAAATGGCCTAATCGTGTTGTACCCTGTTGGTAAACCTTATAACGTTTTAATGCTATTGCATATCATAGAACCAACTTGTTTAGTTGAAACAGCTGACTAAATTCTTTAATTCCTTTTAAATGTGAATACTCATAAGGTTAACAGAGGGGTCTATAGAGCCACTGGGGCGGAGCCCGGAAGGATTTTTGAGATAAGAATATGCTTATATGTTAATTGGGAATGTGAGCTATCATTATGCCAAATTTCAGCCAAATCCGTCCAGTAGTTACAGCGTGATTGAACTTCAAACAAGCAAACAAACAAACACGCAAACACACAAACTTTCACATTTATAATATTAGTATGATTTCTCATCCTTATGGATCAGCTGAAGACAGTTTTATTGTTAGTTCTGTCCGGTGCACTGTCTTTAGAGGTCGTGTTTTGTTTACAATTGTTTCTTGTTTTTAGTCATTAAAAACGTAAAAATAGCCAAATAAAACGTTCTAATCACAACTAATAACACGTCCCCTAGTTATATAACCAAACAGTAAAGAACAAATCATGAAGTTAACTATCAAATAATAGAAACACAATTTTGTCGACACTAGCGATCAGTGTCACCGGACATGAACTAGACACAAAAAACGAGCTTCAAACTTTACAATGGGATGTAAAGTTTACTTGTTTTGGTTAGTTGGTAGGTTTGGTAGGTTGTTTTGGTAAGACTATAATGCATTTTCCACCCTAATAATCATAAGAATAATGTTAAACATACTTCCAAATATATTTATTTTATCGACTACGTTGCTCTTACTCCTAATTAATCGTAGGATACGACATTATGGTACCGATACGATATAGGTACTACACTTTCGGCAACACTGGCCAAAAATATTCGTGCTTGGCTCCCATTGGACGGCCCGCGAGGCTTCTGATTGGGAGTTAGCGAGTTCCGCCGAGGGGCCGAGTTAGCGACTTCAGTACGAGGACGGAATTCGCTAACCCGGTTCTAGAGCGGGTTAGCGGGTTCCGGAGTTAGCCAATTCCGAAACCGAACAAGTTAGCGAGTTCCTCTCATCGACCAAATTTGAAGATAGGGCGTTTAACATGGGGTTAGCGAGTTCCAGAGTTAGCCAATTCCGCGGACCCGGCCTGGGGGGTATGGAATACCCCCCAGCATAGGAGGGGGTGCGGGAAAAAAATTGGAAATAACGTGCTAAAACGAGTGGTTTTGAAGCTATTTTGAGGGCCTAGTTTAATGTGTTCAAGCTTCCCAGTTTATTTAAACGTCAAAGAAATGTCTAAAAATAAACTTGTATAATGTCATGTTTTTTCATTATTTAGACTTGGGGTTTTAATATCAAAGGAATACCGCAACATTACAACACATTCAAGCATTATTGATTTTCGAAAACACCAACGATGTATTTGGTCAATGTATTTTCCTTCCACCATGCTTTCAACTGGTGCCAATGTGCATGCTAAACGGAAAATGTCCAAAATCAGACCAAGATTTCGAACCAGAGAACTTATTTTATCTAAGAAGTGTTTAAGAACTTGGACCCAAAACGACTGCATTATCCCTGCCCAGCAAGCAACAGTTAACCTACACAAAGTACACTATCCATATCCAACTAACGTTGCCGTCGGCGTCCCGTCACCGCTACTGTCTGGAGAATTGGTTCTCAGTGTTCTCATTTTTTCTACGCCAGTGCCAGTGGCATTTTACAAGGGGTCAACGTGAGAATAAAGTTTTTGTGCAACTATTTTGTGGTTGTGCTGGGAATTAAATCTGTCCCTTCCACATCTAAGTCTGAGACACTACCATTTTGTTGTTGTTTTATGGCTAGCAACATGCCAATTGGGTTGTGGTATTCTTATATATGATACTAGCTGTAACCCGCGGGCTTTGCCCCGTTTAACTTCTTAATTTTCAAGATGATCTCGTTCGCATGGCTCAATCACGTCCTGGTTGAAGTTCGTTCGCTACGCTCACTCACCTTTAGGTTGGAGCTCGTTCGCTGCGCTCACTTGCCTTCAGGTTAGCTCGTTCGCTACGTTTTCCTCTTTACTTACTTCTTTTCTTTATCCAATACCCAAGCCCAATTCCAATCATCTATGTTAAAATGAATGATAACATTAAATGCCGAAAAAATAAATAAGAAGAAGAATGCGGCCGAACGTCGAATGTCAGCATTGGACACTGCCGTTGCTGTATAGGCTGAAAGCGTCCGTCGTCTGCCAATCTTCCCTACTTTTCATAACGTACAAAAAAACAGTCAGACTCGAACGATGAGTTTTAGGTTAGAGATTGTAATTAGTCCTTTCATTCGACACAAGTGTAAAGACTAGAATAAATTTCAATTTGGCAGAACGATTTGCAATAAAAATTATTAAAGTTCCCCTGGTATAATAGTTTATATATATACAAAATATTTTGGGGGGGTCATGACCCCCCTGACCCGCCCTGGGACCGCCCTTTGATTTATTACAATCACAGCAACTCCTGTGAGTTGGGCTTCATTGTAATGATGAATGGCAATCAGAATATTTTTCACTTTAGAGAACGACGGAAAAAGACGACAAACGGTCATTGACGCGGTGTGTGGTCATTACAGGGATTAGCTAACGTCATTGGCGATAATTCAGAATCAAAAATTGTCTGGTCCCAAGCAGGGCCGTATTTTCCTAACAGCGGTTGCCGGGGGCCTCACTTACTTGAGGCCTCAAATTTTTTTTCTTGGTTGCAACCATGGGAGACAAGACGATGATGATGATGTCTATCATACGATCAGCTGGTAATTAAAATGCATTCTATTAGAAATGACAACAAATTATAATTTTTATTGTGCTTTCAGGAGAAAATTGATATTCTCAAGAAAGCGTGGAATGCTCAAGGATCTCCGTTTCAAGGCCAACCATTTGACCCATCAGTACTACAACTGCCGCAGTGATATTGTTTTTGTGAGTTTGTGAATGTGCTATCTGTATTTTTTAATGTATTTTGTAATATATTTTTTATAGTAAAACTATAGATGGATTAGTTTATTAGATTGAAACCTGACCATGTCTAGATAGATCTAAAAGTTAATTTTTATCTTGTAACAATTTTGTTTTTCAATATTTCATGGATAATATACCTAATTAATTATAATGGAAGTGTCATAAAACTACACTGTCATTAATAATCATCTGCTGTTTGAAGAAACTAACTTATGGAATATAAACTTTTAGTTTATTTGCTTTTAGTTCTGTGTTTATTCTACTTGACAAAATTTCCAAGATAGTATTAAAAAAAAGTAAATGCATCACATACAAAAAGTAAAGAACATCTCTAAGGAGACTCAAAACAACCATTAAATATTTCTGTTTCTACTGAAACCTAAAGGATATGCATGCAACAAGAATGAAACATAGGCAGCATGTAACATGTGTGTAACATGTGCAGCAGAATACTTAGTAGACTACAATCATCGTGATTGGTAGATCTTCTATTTGTTAAATGAATAAATCTCCTCTATCAAATATTATTTCAGTTTCACTTTGAAACCTCTATCTCATCCAGCTTTTTATTAAGAGGTTGGCGGCCTTTTTTAATCATGCATTTGCGCGTCCACAAAGACTACATGTGACTACTTGTGTCCTGTATCCCACAGAAATATGTTCAGTTTTATGAGAACATAAAAGAAGAACGAGCTAAACTAGTCAAACATGAATGAAGCTTTCAAAGCATTCAAGCATTGAATGAGCTTTCAAATTTCTCATCAAAGCAAAGACTTTGTTTTATTAAAGTTTTTATTTGAAAGCTTTCAATTTATAACGTTTAACTTCAAGCCTGTCTAGAAAAACAGAGCTTTTACAGTATGAAGAACTGACGACAAATTGTCGCCTTAGCAATAATCTGTGTGTAGCAAATTGAAGTTGGGTCACTTTATTTCTTTTAGCAGAAGCTCTTTCTTTGATTTGAGACATCCCCTAAACAAAACTCGGTTCCTTGCACGGGAAAAGTAAACAATAGGCCATCGGATCCAATCGTGAAGAGTGGGATGCTATCAAACATTTCTGGAGCTCCATTTTTTATGTATACAAAGTCTGGGTTGCCAACTGGGCAGCCATCATCAGCTTTGATTCAAGTAGCAACACTATTGGAAGTTGGTCAGCTATCTTGTTGTCATTATAAACAATAGTCCGTCAGAGTATATGCCCAGCACCACACATTCTCACATTGTTGAAGTGGATTTTCTCCTAATTACCTGTCTCAATTTTTTAAAAGTTTGTTCAAAGGACATAATTTGTTTTAAAATCAATTAGTTTTCAAAGCTTAACCTTGTTTGTTAGGAAACAATCAAAACTGTTTTTGTTATATGAAGGAGGATAAATTACAAAGCTTGTTTTGGTTCAAATCTTTTTACTGTATAAAATGTTTAACACTAATATACAAAGTATACTTAGCAAAAGAAAAAAAACAAAAAGTACTAAATTCTTGTAGCAATATTGTTGATGAGATGTTTTTACTTAAAACCTAAATTAATTTTTACCTAAGAAAAAAAATTTAATGTTTACATGGACAGGCAAACCTCATTAAGCCAAACAATAGTTTGATGCCTGAAAATTGTTAAGGTTTGGATCTTTTAAGTAGTTAAAAACAAAGCTAGTAGGTTAAGATTCAGCTTGTATTAACACTTTAAAAAACCTAAGCCCGTGTGTAGCTCGTGGCATTAGTTCATTGTATCTCACCTAAGAGCACTAGTGTGCTTATAGCAACACTTGTAGCATTCGGGTGACAGTGGCATGTTAGCTCAGTTGGCCAAGGCGTTACCTGACGAGTTCCTTTATACAAGCGTGGGTTCGAATCCCGTGGATCCATACTATGCTCAATAATGTGTGTTTTAGTTGGTGGGAGATACCCACATTAAAAAAATGGTGTCCGGCTGGGGTGGAAGTTGACGGCATTATTGAGTTTAATAGGGATTGCGCACACCAGGTTTGCCTCTTTTTACATTACTATAGAGAAGGACACAGATTTAATTTTTTTTCTTTTATACAAGTTAAATATGGACATATCGTGTTAAAATAAATCATATAAAACAAACATAAAATCCTATTTTATTTTATTAAAATAGACATAAAAGGACATAACCTAAACAAAAATTAACAGAGAAATATAAAAATAGGCTTATTTCTTTAATTTTTAAATTGTTAAAAATATAAAAACATTGAAAGTTGTTTTTGTTCAGACCACATTGTGCTTACATTAATAAGGTTTGCCTTAACCCTGTACCCTATAGAGAGTTATTAGAAAAAGTAATTCAAAGTATTCATTAGGAAGAAGAGTGTACATACAGTATTACTACATTTTCTTATAAATGTTTGCTATTAGTTAATAATATTTTTTTCGCTACCCTGTGAAATTACCCGTTTTTGTTTATGTTTATCACCTGTAAAAATTCCTCCTGTAAAATTTCATTGTTTTCTACACTAAAAAAATGTTTACTATGTGAAAAATGTTTACTATCTTTTTTTGTATTTTTCCGACAATAACAAACAAAGATTTCTTATTGTTTTGTCTACTGTTTCAATTAGCAACAACCAAAACTGTACAATCAATACAAGTCCTAAAAATGCTATGAGTATGTTTAGTAATGTTCCTAACTGTAATAAAGATATATCTAATGTCTGTTTTAATTACTAAGAAATTATCTTTGTGGAATAGCAAAAAGTATCGTTTAAAACACAAGTGAAAGTGGGTTATTACATATTCTCGACCATAAGTGTTCGATAAATCTCTCACTTCAAACATGTGATCTCAAATATGTAATGACTCATTTTCTACTCTTGTTATGAAATATACTATTTTGTTGTTGTTGTAGATGACACAATTTTGATATAACTAATTGGACAGAGAAGTAAGGTACAGAGGAACACACTTATGGGACAACCGTTCGCTTTCAGCTCTAGTAGGTTTTGCCAGAAATATACTTGTGACAAGCAAGGAAGATTCTGTGTGGAAAGCACTTTGCGGAAATTCCTATTGCACAGGGCACAGGGGCTTCATCCACCGTTAGCGTTGTAGTACATGATGGCAAGGGGGGTGGTGTGATCCTAGACACCAGAGACTAATACTAGACACCCTTAATTGTACCAATGAATGTTTCCTCTATACTTTAATTCTCTGTGCAAATAATTGTTTTAATTAGTTTTTAAAACTAATTTAATCTATCAAATAGCCTAGTTAAAAAAAAACAAGTTCCATGGTAATCATTAGAAACTGTCCATACATACCAATTGTTAAAAGAAAATAAATAGTTTGTAAACAAGCATCACAGAAAAGCTACTTTCTAAGTTTCCCTTGATGTAGAGGATGCTGTGTTTTAAAAAAAAAGTCAGAAAATCACCAAGTCCTTATTGCTGTAACGAAGTAATTCTGTTTGTGTTTTAACCTGTTATTTCAGCTAAAATACGCTTACTTTGCTAGTTGAAGAATAAACATAATCCTCATCAGTCTTAAGAAATCAATAAAAATCTCCTCTTACAACTAATTCAAATATTACTCAACTTCTTGTTGACTAGTTTGTTGACTAGAAAACTTACACAGCCAATGTACGCCTTCCTTTCCTTAAGGACTCAAAATGTTTTCCTATATCATCGAAACTTTTACCTAGAGTTTCCGGAAGGAAATAATACACAAAGACTGTTCCCGAGACGGAGATAAAACAGAAAAAGTAAAATGCCCCAGAAATTTTGAACACATCTAGAAAATGTGGGAAATATTTTACTGCGCCGAACATGATTATGTGAGTAAAACATATGATGAAACCACTTCCATTGCCTCGTATGGACATTGGTAAAAGCTCTCCGATTAGACTCCAAGGAATGATGAGAAACCCGAAAGCGGTCATGCTTACGTAGATGAGAATCGAGACAGCTCCAACCCAAGAGTATGGGTCTGCGTTGGTCACAGTCGTGAGATCGGTTTGGTTATCCGCATGGGCGAAAAGACCCTCATAAGGTCTCTGACTGAAGAAGACTGCAACAACAACGCTGCTCACAGTCATACCAATACCAGAAGCAATCATTAAAGGCCTTCTTCCGATCTTCTTGGAGGCCATTGCAGTAACAAAACTGATAATCAGTCTTGCCACTCCAAGCAGAATCAAAGCTTCGTACTTGTCTACACTCGTTCCAATCGACTCGAACAGGTTGACAGCGTAGAAAAATATCGGATATGATCCACAGAGTTGTTGGAATAGGAAGATCGTAGTCAGGACTAGAAGCGGGATCAGGTTTTGACCCTTGAAGACTTCTTTGAGGAAGTTTGAACTTGGTTGTTTGTTGACTTGCCGCGTCTGATGAGAATCCAGGAGTCTGTTATATTCTGTCTGGGCAAACTGAAACAAACAGAATACATTTGATATAACAAAGTAAAGGGTTTTCTGATATTGCAGTTGGAATATATAAATTAAATATTTCCTTGCTAGTAGCGGTTTTGCAATGAAAACCTCAGTATAAACCTTTTTTTTGACAGGTTTTTTGCGGGTGACGTAAACAGCATCGCACAAATAGTGCAAAAGTAACAATAATAAATTAAATTAAATGAATGATGAATTATTTCATTTAATTTCAATAATTAATTTCTTCTTAATTTATTACTTTGTAAATTATCTTTATCCGTTCCAGCCACAACTTTGGCAGAAGAATTATAGAGGATTAGTTTATTAATATTTAAGAGTACGGTAACCATACGGATACTATTATATTTTGTGTGATACTTTTGATTTATCTAATACTAGTTTTGCATGCTTAAACGAAGGCTATTTAGGAATTAAGTAATGTTTTTGAATAAAATGAAAAGTTTGTACAAGAAACGAATTGGATTGTAGGCCTGGACTTTTTTAAAGAGGTTGGTGACCTCTCTTAACCTTGCATTTGCCCATCCACATAGACTACAGATCTGTCCGTGGAACGTATCCAGCAAAGCAAGGGGTGAGCCGGTATAGTATGAAGGTGAACTGTACTGATAAAATGTTTGTGGCTGTGGCCGGGATCCGAACCCACATCGCTGCCTTGGGCCAAAGTCTGTGACGCTACCAACTGAACCACCGACTCACCAAACACCACGTTTAAAAGAGCATTTAAAAGACTGTACTACTTTTCTTTATAGTCGCCCAACAACTTAAAGCACTTATCATAGTCTTGAACAAGTTTTGAAGATCCTCAGTCGTAGAATTCTATTCTTCTTTAGTCGTGCAAGCTCTACCACCCGGTGCTACACAGTTGGAGCTACTTGTCATCAAAGCACTGTGCTGTTAACCATGTCTTAATTTTTGGAAACAAAAGAAAGAAGCTTGAACCAGGGAGGTTTGTGGGAATGTCTACCATTTGAATAAATGGGGGAGATCTTGTATGTGATTTGTGTGTGAGGTTGGGCATGAAATTTGGACGTCAACTTTAATTTGGCCATTATGATACTGAATGCTCCATTCCAGGACAGAACTTAGGTTTATTGCGTTGTTTCCGTAAACGTGCCGAGAAATGTCTTTCAGTTTATAGTTTATGGCCATCAAAATGTGCATTACAGCTAGCGCCTCACACCTAGCAGGACACTTTTTTAAAATGTAATACTGAAACAACAGTCAGCAAAACAAGAGCTCCAATATGACGGCTGATAGTCATTGAGAAGACAAACACATGTCTGCACTAGAAACTGTGCAATTAGAATTCACCTACTGGTGTAAGGCGGAAAAGTTCCTTACTTTCTGAATAACCCTCGTAGATACAACTATGTTCTTGGTGCACATAACATATTCACTTGTCAAATACTATTTTTAGGTTTTATAAAACATAAGCTAACACAAAACTGTTACTTATTATAAAAATCATAAAATCTTCAAAGTAGGCATAATTCCTTTTTTTAAGCTTATAACTTTTTTAGAGTAGTAACTTATTTGTCAAAGGTCAAATGTAAATCTTGGTTGTAGATGTTACTCTACTGTACAATTGTTAATGGTAATGTTTCAAATTGTGTATAAATATTTTACAAGTCCTCACAGCCTTGTTGGTGTAGAGTCTGTCCAGTGATTTCTTGGCTTCACTGAGATTGTCTGGCTGATATGTGATGATCCATTGTGGACTTTCTGGACAGTACAACCAGATACCTGAAAAATACACTTATTGTTAGTGTTAAAGATTCTACTGCAGCTGGAATTTGAAAAATGAAAACAAAATACAGAACAAAGTATAAAAATTACCTACACACATAAAAAATACACTATATGAAATTATATAAAGCTGTAGTACCTAACGCTAGGATAGTGAGTCATTGGTCACTCACCCAGTAAAGTAGCCACGCTGAACATCCCAGAACAGAACGCCACTGTGCGCCAGTGCAGGTACACCCCAAGAATGTTGGTAACTACGATGCCAAGACTCACAAAGGCACTGTTGAGAGACAACAGCATCGGCCGGAACTGCTGGTGACAGATCTCTCCGATGTATACAAGGCAGACGGTTGTCATACCTGAGCATCATAAACTATACCATTATAATATATGTCATCATTAGCTGTATGATTATAACCTATGCCATAATAATCTACACATTCATCAGCTCTGCCTTTACAATCAATGCTAGCATAATAGATCATTATCTGCATCATTGTAATATAGGGCGTGTTGTAACATCGTAATTTTGACATCATTAGCCGTACCTTCAAGGGAGACCATGTGTTAATTGGATGAAAAAAATTGTGAAACATCCATATCATTGCCTACCCACCTTCTTTATGACATATTATAAGTAATTTTTTATAAAATCTGGATGTACACTGGATGTCTGCAGAACGCTTTGACCATGCTTTGATTTTACGTGTTTTTCTCAGGAAATTCCTCCCCTCACTACATCTGTCCTGTCATCATAATATGAGTTTCAGTAATAAAAAAAAATAGTACTATTATGCGAAAACATTGTTAAAAAGTCATGTCACATTGATTTTGCCAAACAAATCATCCTAGTTAATTGGTTTACAGTTTTTACTATCCAAAAAAATACACTCAGTTTAAATGTGTGCAAATCAAATTTTGTAAAACTTATATTGGAAAAACATAATTATTTTAAAGTGTGACGCTTACCTCCACCCAACCCAGTGAGGACTCTGGCAATGTAGACGATCCATACATTGTTGGGTGTAAATGCTAACAAGACCCATCCGAGACTGATGGGTAGGCAGGTGATGATAGCTGTAGCCTTACGACCGTAAACATCCATGGGAACCCCACAGGCTAGGGAGCCCACTAAGGTGGCTATGGCTACCAGGCTGGCTAGACAGAAAAAAAACGGAAATTGTTCACAACTGTGAAAAAAATACAATCTGTATTCATCGATCATTATCGCCTGTTAGAGGCTCTTGGATCACTAAAATGCAATTAACGTGGACACAAATCAAATTAATTGATAATTAATCTTATTGAGTTTTTTAGATCACACTATAAATTAGTAAATACTTGCATTGTATCATCTTTGATGTTGTGTTGTGGCAACTAGTTTAGACTCAACACTGGAGTCATCAGGCTAGTACAGATGTCATCTTATCTCTTAATTCAAAGTTTGTCAAAATTAATATGAAATAAAATATGCACATGGACATTCAAAATCACAAATATTTAATGACAAAAACGTGAAGAAAATACTGTAAACTGTAGGTAAGTGGGATATATTGTGATCAGACAGAAGTTGTGTCTAGAGACTGCATTAGCATGTTCGTTGATGACGACATCAAGCCTGGGTTTCACGATTCTACCCAATTCCAATAACCTATTCTACAATTAGTCTTGTCATTGAAACAGAAAACGATGTGAGAGAAAATCTACACTCCCCCCAAGTGTGAATCGTGTTCTGCAATTGGATTTCTGTAGAGTCTAGAAATGGGGTTAAGCTATTGAAATACGCAGGCCCGGTCTGGCCAGGGCGGCTGGTCGGCGATCCCCGAGGGCCTCCGGCTCAAGGGGGCCTCCAAAAGCCAAAAAATCAATTCAAAAAAATTTAGTTATAATAAAAAAATATTTTGTTTAACTGTTTTACAGCGACGTAGTCTTGCAAAAACAATTTTTAATAAACAATACTCTTTTTTTAATTGAATTACAGTTAGGGGTAGCCCCTAAGTACAGTGATAGTCACTCAGTACTAGAGGATAGTCACCGATCTCACTGCAACGCAACGTTCGAATCAGCTCAGTGCCCAGCGCTCTGCGGTAGTGACGAGACATTGCCGTGCCGGCGCGTCTGCGATATGTCTGGTGTCTGGTACTAGTATAGTGCGTACACATGACAGCGTAGCAACGCGCGTTTGGGCAATTTTGTCTCATAGCATGTCTCGGCATAGCCATAAAAGTCGAAAAGGTAGTTTTTACTAACTTTTTGTAAGGGAGTTGTACTATAGATATAAAGAAAGAAAAAATCAAAATAGGACGCGTTGCAGAAAGTCAACAGTCCCGGAAGGTCAAATAATTTATACCTGTGCCGCTAGGTCAAAAACTACAATGTTTGCAGTGTCTGTAGATCAAAAATCCCAGTAAGTCAAATAGTACAGTCCGAGCTAAAAACGTGGTCTATGTTAAAGCAATTGACTTATTGGGAATTTGACCTAATGCAAAAGCAGTTTTAATATAACGAAATAAGATAAAATATAAGTTCAGTTTCGCTGAGTCAACAGTGCCGGAAGGTCAAAAGTATAATCTGTTAAAAACAACGATAGTCCTCTCGACGCATGACTTCAATAATTTCGTGTTTTGGTGTACTTAAAGTTGTGCAAAAATTTTGAAAATTGGCACAGAGCTTCTTGGTTAGTCCTACTCGATGACTATTTTGTTGGAACTTTAAACTATTTACCGTTCTAATTAATAAAAATTGATATGTATGGTGAAATAGTTTTAAATCGTGATTTCTAACATGAAAAAGTTAGCATGCGAGATTTTTGTTTGTTTTTGGGGTAGAGGTGTTTTGTCTGTGGCAAAGTTGTAGCCAAAAGTGTGATGCGTAAAATATATATGTTTTTGAATTTTTTACAATCAGTGGTTCAATAGATAACTTGGGTTGAAGAGGACGGCAAATTTAGCATTTCGCAACGCATGGAAAGAACTACATCGTACGACGCGCCTGCTGAGTTGACTTTTAATTTACAGTTCTAAGAACAAGAAAAAGATGAATATACAGATCACCAGTACATTCATATTATTTATAAAACATCTTTCTGTATTACCAGCTTACATTTTTCACTTATAATAATACACCATAAACAGGGTGTTAAAAATAAGCGGGGAGATACTTTACCTAGTAATTCCTTGGGTCAAAATAAACTGAAAATCAAGGATAACATTTTTTCCGAAATCGTTTCGTTAACCAGATATCCACCATTTTGTATTTTTTACATAAAAATATTTATCTTTGCACTTTTCCAACCGATGTTTATAAAACTTGGTATGTATGTTAAGGTAGGTGAGACCCATGTTATAAAAAAAGATTCATCTCGATTCACCCTAAAATTTCAAAATTTAACACTTAACTACAATATAATATACTTTACTACACCACAATATTTACGTACCACCATAAATCTTTAACAAAATAAAACGTTAACATTTTTAAAATCCAAAGTAAATCAATATAATATTTCTTTTTTGAAAAATATATTTAAAAAAAAGCGATGGTAAAATAACGACAGGCGAGTTTCGATCTGGGTGTTTCAGGTTTGAATCTAGGAGGATTTAACATTAATTAGGTAACATTAATGTTTAATCCTCCTAGGTTTGAACTGATTGAGAGGAATACATAAAACCGAAGGGGGAAGGTAGCAACAAGTGCACCAGTATTTACTAGTGACCAATTACAATTTGATGGATTTAACCAAAACCTTTTCTATTTCACTTATTTTCAACTGTTAAATTTCAAACGATACGTTTTAGCGACATCATTAACGTTATTATCATCATCATCGTTTGAGTTTGGGTTTGCGGCAATGCATTTTTATGAATAAAACCTTTAATTTGATATCAAACTTGACCTCTGCTGCTTAATTGACTGTATGGACTATTAATTAACAGCTGTGTCTAAGGATTATGTCAGCCTTAGTCACTAACAGGACAACGAGATCGCTCCACTCATCACACACTCATCTCCATTCATACTTGGCTTAAAATGCATACATGGTCGTGTGGCTTCATTGGCAACAAATAATGCAAATCAAATAGCAATATGGCATTTCCAAAGAGAAAAACATACTGTAAATTGGCTGTTACGTAAATATTGACGTTTACATGCATTGTTAATCAACTTATTAAGGATAATGTGATCTAGTTTAAAAGAAATATGACCTTTCTGTCATGACAGTAGCTGCTTAAATAGTATTTACTCTTCCAGCCAAAATATCGTGTTACTTTCAATGATGTTACCAACCCAGTGGGCCACAGTCCGTAATATAGGCCACTACAAATAATGTGTTATGATAGGTACCATTTTAGGCAAGGTTTTTGTGTTTTGATGTTATTAGACACGATAAGAGCACACTGAACTTCTTCTGCAGATGAATTATGAAATATAAACCGATTCATAAATTAATATCACAATGCGAGTTTGAGCATTTTGTAACTATATGAGAAAGTTACATAGTAGTTTTAAGACTGCTGCTCAGTGCACTTTAAGAATATGTTTTTTTAGAGATAAATTAAATTATTTTTGTTGCTGAGTAGCGCTAGTAAACATGCACAACGCTTTTTCGTTAGCCTAATAACATTCAAAGGCTCTCTAAGAGTTCAAGAAAATAACATTGCAAATACTTCCTTTGGACAATTCAGTAACTCTCAATAAATGTGTGTTGTTTAAAATACTATTTAAAAATGAACAGCTGTTTAATTAAAAAGTATTACCACCACCATGGCCAAAATGTAAACAAATCTGTGGAGGTATCTTTCAAAGGCTTCTGGGGCAGAGCCCTAAGGGAATTTACTTTGTTTTTCTTTTGATAACTCATCTACAGACCAAGACATTTCTTTGGACACCTCTACTAAGTTTCTACGCCCAGTCGTTCTCTTAAATTAGTGGAGACAAAGTTTCCAATTAAATATTTAGATTCCCCCATGTTAATCTTATGGGAGAAAACCCAACTGTGATGGAAGATCCAGCCCGAACTAATAAAGATATCCAAAAAATAAAAACACTTTGCATAACTACAGATCAGGGCCATTCTTTTGACACTTTAATTATCAAAATCGGTCTAAAAATCAGGGAGGAGTTATGTTTACAAAAATCGGCTTAGCGTATTATATATATAGATAGATAGATGGTAATAATGGATGGTAAATTTATTAAGAAAAACAGTACGTTTTTGAATGAGAATTGCCCATAATATCACGTTTCACAAAATAAGGTTGTCCTATTTTCTTAATAAAACTCAAAATGTTCAGGCAGTAAAAAACTTCACCATTTTATCTAAGCCTATAAATAGTAATATAAAAGAACATTTAAACTAAATTATTTGACCAGTTTAACCAAACCAAGCCACCTTGAAAAATAGCTGTTAAATATGGGTGTCTTCATTATTTATTACCATTTCGGGACTTAGTTTCCACAATTAAATTAAATTATTGTATTTCAGTCACCAACAATGGATGAGGTAATGGTTGAAACAGCGAAATCAATGAATAAATAACTCAAGTCAACCTGTTGATTTAAGATTCGTACAAATGTGTTTTCATACAAGAACGGTTTATCGCAAGAATAAATAGTTTAACCTTTTTACATGTATATGTCACTGAAAAGAAAAACTTTTAAAACGTTATATTTCAACAACACTGGATTATAGGCAATTTTTACTTTCTCCCCCTATACCATAGTATATGGAGAAAGTATTGTTTTCGTCAAAATTTTCGAGTTTGAGTTTTGAGTGGATATATTCGTTTTGGGTCCCCCTGGACCTAAAAAAGTGGTTTTCGAAGTGATGTCTGTGTGTGTGTGTGTGTGTGTGTGTGTGTGTGTGTCTGTGTGTCTGGATGTGTACAGAGCTAGAGACCACACCTGTGGTCCGATTTCGATGAAATTTGGTATGTAGGTTCTAATCCATGGTATCTCCAGGCGTTTTTTTCATTTTTTTGAAATTTTGATTTTTAATGGGAATTTTCCCATAAAAACCCATAAAAAACCGGAAAAAACAGATTTTCTCGAAAACGGCCCGAACGATTTTAATAAAAATTTAGTATGTTGTAGCCCTTTAAATTCTAAATAAAATAGTACAAACCCCATATCTGTAAAAATTACGGTTCAAAAGTTAT